TTTTTGCATGCATTCTGTAATCCCTTGCTCATCCACGGTCTCCCACAGTACTTCCTTTTATCTTTAAACTGCTTACGAGGGCAGTTCCTGTCATATACATTCTTAAATATATTTAAAAATTTCTCATATGCTTTATCTAAGTCATCCTCTCTGTAAACTGGTTCCCAGTTTTGCCCCAAGAAATCATCTTTTAGCCTCCTTACCGCATGTTCATTGATCACCCTCCTGTAGAAAAAATTTGTTTTAGGCCTCTCTTTTCCATAGTGGCCCTCATAAACCACAAATATTGGTAAATGATCACTAATATCATTTATGAGTAATCCACTTGTAATCATGGTCACAAAATACAATGTAGTAATGTCTGTCAAATCTGAAGTCAGACTACCATTTTTCATCAACAAATATTAACACTAGTTATAATAATTCTTAGACAAAGGTATTATCACAATGTACCAAAATGAACATATCATACAACAACACAAGATAGACAAAGGAGGATAAAGAAAAAAATGGATTAAAACAGGATAAAAAAAAACAGTAAGAGATAGAATGCTCACTATGCTTGGGATCTAACAATATTAACAGTTTTACAAAAAACTACACAAAAGCCATCTTATAAACATGGGATTTTACAACTGACTTAAAAAAATGACAACTAATTCACCTCAGTTAAGTTCTAAGGGCTCTAGAGGCAAAGACAAAGACACTTCAAATCACTGTCATCATTGAGCCATGCCACTAGCATGGCTCAATTTAACAGGATCACCAACCCTACCTTTAAGGAAACTAACAGATCAAGTGTAATTCAAAATGTAAAATATTTTATATCATCACAATACTAAGAATACTATTACTCAGTTCCGTTTTTAAACAAACTGTCTCATACAAGTGGCATAATTTAGTAACACAAACGAGCCATACTGAGAGCTCCATGCATACCAGCCAGTATATCTGAGGATCAGTCTAGCCACTGGCCTCATGTTCCTCTGCCTCTCTGTTATCAACAACCAGTGCTGGTCAAAAAGATCACAATGTGCCTTTAGGAAAGTCCATCTCTGTGGCACTCCCTCTCCTCATTTCCCCTGCGACTTTGTGCACTGTGAATTTCAAAAGCAATCCCTTTGCATTAAGAGGCAGAAAACCTTTGTTTAGTTTGAAAACGAACTGTGAGATGATTGCCATGACTGGTGTAGCTTTTCTGTAGCTTTGTGATTCATTAGTCTTCTTAGAAAAGGGAGACTGCCTCACATGCCGGATCAGCAACACAGTCAAGTTTGACTAGTTAGGTCAAAGGTCAAAGTGTTTATTTGTCATATGCACAGTCAGGTCTTATGCATAGTCAGTAACATACCCTGATGGCGGCTTTGTTGCAGTAGACCCGAGTGACAGCCAGCCAGGTAGGCAGGTCGAGCATATTCTGCAGAACCTCTTCATCAAGCTCAAGGTTAGACAGCTGCCCCTCCCCTTTCAACGTACTCAGATTGATTTTGTCCGGAGACAGATTCTTGGTAAACCTAAGAAAAGAACCAGATAAAATGTTTTAGGTTGAAAACACACAGCCGGAACTGGGAGACTTTTATCAGGGAAACACCAGCACGTCACTGATGATCTAGGAGGCAAAAATAAATTATGCAGCTCTGCCAAGATGTGGTTGAAGCAGCGCAACTGAATGAGTCACCATGAGAAACTGTAGCAGCCTCCTCACTTGAGTCCCACAGCTGTACTCCCCATCTAGGCTAAAGGTGCTAATGTAGCAGGGGCTGGGAATGGGCTCCAACATCACACAGGATAAATATAACAGCAATAACAGCAAACTGATTTATTATTTCACGTATACCAGATGACTGAACACTGTTCTGACAAATTGCTGTGACATTTTAGACATCAACCCAGAGACACTGCAGAAAAAGCTGCAGACTAAATGTCACACATTTGTTCTTAATTTGTCAAAACTTGTATTAAACTGTTAGGACTAATACCACACTCATAAGCCTGGTAAACTAGTCAAAACCTAAGCTGCTTTTTGTATTGAGGAACAAAATAATGGCTCTACACTTCTTCTGTTGTAGAGAAAACCTGGACTGCTGATGTCCTAAAAATACCATTTCATATTTACTCCCACACTTTTCAGGGGCATTTAATGAGTCAAACATAAGGCACAGAGTTGGTTCACATGTCTGAAAACACACAGTAGCTTTGACTTGACTGTACAGCTTTGTGCATTTTATTACAATTACCTTCTGTTTTAGCAGATAAGAATATAAAGAGGTGGTAATTTTTAAGCCTCCAGTGCATTACAGCAAAGACTACTGTATAGTGGTGCTATTATTTTTAAAACTAGCAATAGGGGCTAAATGCTAAGATTAGCTTACTTCAATGACCACAGAAATTCCAGAGATTGTCAAAGACAAGGAAAGTGATTGTATAAATTTGGCTAAAAGTACAACTATTTGGTTTTAGAAATTTAAAAAACTGTTCTTGAACAACAAACACCAGAGGATCAGCCTTGAACCTGTCTTTTTTAATCCAACAATCTCTCAATGGTTAAAGAAGTAGTTGGCTTGTAAGTTTTAGGCTCCATTTGTATAATTACAGCGTAACATACTGCATCTGTGACCTTATTATTTCAATTAACAAATGTATCACACACATGCCTAGACTGAAAGTCATATGATCTTGTCATCTTCCTGCCTGGGTTAAAACTACCACACTCTTAACTACAGAGAAAACGGCTACTGATAAGACCCTATCAAAAATAGCAGAGAATGATGGACTATACTTAAAATGGTTATTATTTATTATAAGTTCCTGAGAGTAGGGTGTAAGATGACCAAGGAGGGGCTTAGACTATAAAACTCATTTCAACAAGTTCTGACCCACAACATTAACATACTTGTCTGTCTGTCTACCTTCTAAGTATGTGTCCACTCGGCTCTATCTGGTGCAATAAGTGTTTTAATTATTCAGTGAGCTGGTTAAACACAAAGCCTGTGATTTAGCTCATCCAGTCTCATGATTAGCATTAGTCTTTATCCAATCTATCTGTGGTGACAGAAACCTTTTAAAACACATTTCAACATTGGTCTAGCACCTAAATTGATTTCTTCAAAGCCAGCAGTGGTATACTGTACATAAACATGTCCTGCCTTAATAAAATAACAAAATAGCAGGTGTGATGTCTTCTGAGATGTGGCATTAAAAGGAAGCAAAACCAGGTGTAGAGAAAAGGCTGCAGTGCTTTGTATAGTTGAAGGTGACTAGAATGCACTATCTTAGCAGAATGTAATCTGGAATAAATGTTGCAAAAAAGAGCATTAGTAATTATTCCAATAGTGATACTCTGTTGATCACACATTCATACAGTAAACTAAACAACCTGATACACAAAACCGAACAAGCTTAATCTTGCCTAGAGTTGAGGCTAAAGAAGACAAACTGTTCACTAACTTGATAAATTTGAGTGCAAGGTGGTTTCAGGACATAAATCTGTTAAAACTAAAAAAACACTCCTACATATCTGTCCCTATCTAGAATTTTTTACCTGCATTGAGGAGATGCCAGTGTTTTACTGCTGTATTCTATATATGATTTTTAAAATAAACTATGTGATTAAATTCAGATGCTACTTCAGATACAACTTTTTCATATTTCCATTGCACAGCAGCCTAATTATAGGATATAATGTGAGAGGGCAGAACTGTGAAGACAGTGGTGGGGGTATTAGGCAAACTTAATTTATCAGCTTTTCAAAACGCGTATTAAGGCAGTACCGTTAGCCTGTGTAGACTACCGTAAAACGCTATTAAAACACATACCCTTACAAAAGTGGTGTAGTTACCACATATCCGTTTCAGGATGAGGTGGTTTGCTGCGTTCACTGTCTCTATGTCAAGCCTCCTAACGTTACTCTCCTGTTATATTTGGCATTAACCGCTGTTTACCATGTAGCTTAAGACGATGTTGCTACATGTAGCCAAAAGGACAAATAACAGCGAACTAAGGTTTGCTGTGTTGTAGCCAGTAACGTTACACTCGTCGCCCAACTGAGGGGCTAACACAACGCCAAAGATGACACTTACCTTGACAAATGTTTCAGAATTTGCTTTTTAATAATTCCGGCCATTTCTGCAAGCGTTGCTGACGTGCGTTAACAACAGTTCTCCGTCTTAACATACTAGCTTTCAGGTACCTTTATATTGCTGCACACAGCAGCACTAGCTGACTGCATTTTGTACCCCCTGCAGCCTAGCCACTGACTCCCAGTCACAAACACACAAAGTAGCCTACACCACCATGAAAACACAGCAGCTCCAGCTACATGGTGCTGCCATCTGCTGGACGTTCATGGGCGTGCATGTGGGTGGGTGATCAGTGCGGAGAATCCCACCACCAATCATTAAAAAAACGATTTAATTAAAGCAAACATTACATTCAGAGGCTGTGCACTGATTAACCTACTGCAAAGGGAGGGTTGTTATAATTTTATTTTCTCAAGTATAGTCATAGTAGGCCTATAGTCTAAATCTATAGTATTATCACGTAGGCTACGTACAGTTGATTCTATTTTACTACCCAAAAATAACACTACATGGGACTATTTTTCAGAGCAGACAATTTCAGTTGTCATAGTCATAAAAGGAAAGGCACAGGTGTTCCTAGCAACATTAATGATGGTTCTTGGGGCCCTGTAACTCCCAATAGCCCACTGGCCTACTTATTCCCCAGACACTCAATAACCAACCAGGACTACAAAGATGAAGTGATTAGTTGGATCAGGTTAGTTGTTTCACAGAAAATTTAAATAAGAAGAATATGACAATTAATTTATCCTTTAACAATTAGGTAAGTTGTGAATACCTCTGTTTTTTCTGACAGGCAAAGACATGAAAATATAAAGGACAGACTTTTTTCTTTCATTTGGTAGCCTATGTCATTTAAAACAATATAGTGTACAGATATCAGGATGTGTGAGGAGATCTAATCATATCTACTTAAAAATAAAAATCACCCTAACAGATGTATAATAAGACTGAAAAGTGTGGCAAGATGCCCCAGTGTCCCCTAGTAAATGCAACACAATATTTTGGACTGTTGGTCAGACAAGACAACTTAAACTTGAGCTTTAAAGAATAACGATGGGTATTTTTTAGTCTGTCTCATATTTTATACAATAATGAATAAATCAAATACTAAAGAAAATATCTTGCACAAGGTCTTCTGGCTGTTACTGACACAGAATAAATTAAAGCATTTTTTTTAAATAAAAACCCATCTTTACCACAAATGATCACAAACTGAACTAAAATAATTCATTAGTTCCCTCTTGAAAACCAGGACCACAAGATGGACCCAGCATGGTTTGTCAGCACTGAACAAATAAAAACTTGCAAACCTGCAAAATATGCCATACAACTTTTACTCCATAAAAATTGAAATTTAATCGTGGTTTAATTGCTTGGTTGATATTAGTTCATTATCAGTTATATGCACATCTGGGCAAAGTGGGCAACTTCCCCAGACGTCAGGACTCAAAGGATCACCATGACTAACAGCTGCAAAAAGAAAAACTATTTCCCCAGGGGCGCCCAAGCTTTGCATATATTTCATGGTAATTTCCCCAATATTTTGTAAAATGATTTGTACATTTACTCAAAGTTTTATACTTATTATTTGATGGCATTTTTTTATTGGTTTAGCCAGACAGTTAATTACGTAGGTTATTACTGCTCTACCCAGGATCCACAGGTAAAAACAAACTACAATCATGTGACATGCGCAGTCGGCCCTGTTGTTGAGTTTGTTATGACAAGTCGAGGCCTCGGACTAAATTAGGAGTGAAACCCCCGTCTCTGTCCGGGAGAAGCCGCGATGGAGGGCATGGACCTGGACCAGGAGCTCATGCAGAAATTCAGCTGCATGGGCACAACAGACAAAGATATCCTAATATCGGAATTTCAGAGGCTCCTCGGGTTTCAGCTTAACCCCGCCGGATGCGCCTTCTTTCTGGACATGACAAACTGGTGAGCTCGGGGACTCATTTGGCCTACTGGATGGTTTGTTAGATAACAGATGCGGTACACCAGCTATGTTTCTAGACAGTAAGCTGTTCATGTTTTAAAAAGACATTTCGATAGGAAGAGGGACAGGGAAATCATAGGAAACATTAGTGTGATAGAGTGTTTTGAGTTAGCTAAGCTAGCTATGTAAACGTGGGTACGGTGACAGCTAACGACGTTGTAGTAACGTAAGTAGCTGAGTCAGTGTGACTGACATTTGATTGCCTGCCAGTAACATAGTGGACGGTAGCTCAGTGGAATTTGCATATCTAATAAAAGTGCTTTTAAACGAATTCTGGTTAGTTAACACAGAGGTTACCACCGATACAGTAATTAAAAATACAGTCATGTATTTTTTAGCTGGTTACGTGTGTTTCGTGGTTGCTCAGGCTGTTGACGTTGAGATGTACGTTAGCTAACGTGTAGTCATCGAGCTGGTTATCAACTTGTCGCGTCGCTGAACTGAGCCGATATTTAAAACGTGAGTATTTTTTCATAGTCTTTACAGTGCGTTTTCTGTTTAGCTATGTGAGGACGTTTTAGACATCCATCCATTTTGTTATCGAGAGACAAACTGATCAAACGTTGTCCATCTCCTGTCTGACCACAACAACCACAGTTAAGTATCGCTACATTACAGCCTATTACATAACAACCTGTCAACAAAACGCTGGTAGACTTTAGTTTAAAGCTCACAGTGGTTAGTCAGACGAGTCTTTACTTTTTCTACCTGGACAAAATATGTTGATTTTGCCACGTAGTGAGAATATTACTTGACGTCGGTGTTGCATTGGATTTTCTGGCTTCAAAATCTTATTTTAGGTGAGACATTTTTTTTTTTGAATGCAACAGTAAGCAGTCTAATGTCCTTGAGTAAAAGCGACTGTGAAATTGTTAAGGAGGGAAAGGTCATCCTGAAATTTTCATCAAATACATTTCTCTGTGCATATGCAGTATTAAACAAGCCAGTGCAGGTATTGATGATAATGGGCAGGATCACGTGATGCAGCGTAACAGCGCCTCTGCGGCGGGCTTTCTAAAAAAATAAAAACAGCTGATTTATGGGTGACAAGCGTGTCACTGGAAACACCCACTCTAAATCTCTAGATGTATTGTTTCAGTTAGTTTTCAAACAATTATGCCAAACATTTGCTGGTTCCACAGTCAAAGCTAAATGAGTAGTCATTATTTTATCAAAGAAGAAAACAATGATAGTATTCATGAACTACAGCTTCCATGATGCTTTTATACCATGCCAGTAGCTAAGACTAATACATTTAGGGCTGAAAAAACTACTCGATTTTGTTTCTCTTATGTGATTAGGTTTTACACTGTTGGTCAGATTAAATAAGCAGTTGGAAAACTTAAAGTCACCCTACACTTAAGGAAATTGTGACAGGAATCTTATGACACTTAGGCCACATAGACCAAACAATTTTTGTTTAACAGAACATAATCAGCAATGAGAATATCTATTAAATTATTTCCTTCTTGGTTGAAATGTTATAATACATATACCTTCACACTTTTGAAACAGAAGGTGGACTTTGTCACTCTATAGATCCCATATTTGGCTTAGGTTCATTCATATCTGTGCAAACTGCTGCTGAATCTCCAGGGTTTCAGCCTGTGTGAATTTCCTGTTATTCTCCACAATTCAATCTGTAAAGCTCAACATAATTTCTGCCTTCTGTTGTCCTAGGAATTTACAGGCAGCAATTGGAGCCTACTATGACTTTGAGAGTCCCAGCATCACTGCACCATGCATGTCCTTTGTGAAGGATGTGACGATTGGTGAGGGCGAGTCAGTTCCTCCTGACACACCCTTCACAAAGACCTGGAGGATACAGAACACAGGTAAGTCTGCTGGAATAATAAACATTATATGATATATAATACAGAGCTGATACCAGGTCTATTAAAGGAAAAACAGTTACACTTACATGTCATTGTGAGTTCAACATCGTTGTCTGTGTGTGTTCCAGGTGCAGAGACATGGCCACCTGGGGTTTCTCTTAAGTATGTCGGAGGAGATCAGTTTGGTCATGTAAACATGGTGATGGTGCAGTCTTTAGAGCCCCAGGAAATGACAGATGTCAGTGTGCAGATGCAAAGCCCTGTGTCTCCTGGCATGTACCAGGGTCAGTGGAGAATGTGCACAGCTACTGGACTTTACTATGGTGGTAAGCACAGTAAACATCACACCAAAGACAAATGTGAATTGTTGCCTTTTGATAGATACCGTATGAACATAATGAAACAATAAGTCAGAGAAACAGTAAAGTGACAGAAAAATAACTATTTACAACCCTACCCCCTCCATGTTAGTGGGTGGAAGCCAAACTAAAAATGCAAAAAGTACAGATCAAAGAAATTTTTCCTAAAGGTGATTTCTGTCATTTTAGTTAGATATTATCACAGTGTTCTGTGTATATTTCATTTGTTATTTTTCTCATAAGCTTATTTTAATAAGTTATATTAAAAGGAGTGTATTTTGGATGATTTGACAGCTTTGATTTTGCAACTTGATAGTGCAGCTCCACATCTGGTTGCAAAATGCATCACTAAGCAAGAGGGCCCGATATTTTGGCTTAACGTCTGCATAGTGGCACTAAATGGTGATGTGTTATCCATTTTTATGTAAAGTTTAGGGTTCCAGCTTCTAAAATGTGAGGATTTGCTGCTTTTCCCTGTTATTTGTGTCACTGTATATGTCTGTGCAGATTCTCAGTCTTTGAGTTTTTACATTTAATAGCAGTTTAGTAATCACGAGCTGCAGTCCTAGAACAGAGCATGTTTCCTAAGGTCTTATAAATATAATAATCTAAACTTTCAGCTTAATTGGAGAGCAAAACAGCCAAAATTGATCCTTTTGTTGTGCATTCATGAGATTTATACGTAACAGAATTTCACAGATTTGTTCAGGAAACTTACTAATATTATTGGGGCAGGCCAGTCATATTTTTATATGTTCTGATAGTAAAAAATCTGTGTGCCCTGAATGTACTTTCTTTTCAAATAGGTAATTTGTTTGCTGTCAAGTGAGCTGCTGCCAAATTTGAACAGTGAAGTACTTCAGGCAACAGTCACTCTTGAAGATAAAGTGCTAGATAATTCTGTATGCATTTACAGCAGTGAAAACGATTAAAAATAGATGGCCATTCTGTTAGCACCCACAAATTAAATTAAGAGCCATTCATTTCATTGATTTATGTCCTCCGGCAGTTTTCAGTGTGTATGATGTATCCCAACAGGAATTCCCCCGAGTCATATCCACTTACAAATTAAGCACCAGATCGATACTCAATTAAAAAAGATGCTTGGCTTTAATATATCATTTAGGGGTTTGTAGCCAACTCTTCACCTAACACCATGAGTTCTGTGGTGGCTTTAAGAGAGAGGAAAGGACTGTAGACCTGGAGCTCTACACGTGTTTGATGATGATGTGTGGTCCAGCTCATTTGTATAAAATCTCACGGTTGTTGTATTGTAATTTTATTATGATAGACTCCAGGTTAATGTATTCTTTTGGTTTTTGCCCTTACAAGTTTTACTCTTATAGTCCCCCTGATTTACTTACAAGCTCATTAACTGTTCATAATGAAGAACAGTGTCTTACTGTATTATAGCTTTAGTGTAGTTGTAGTATTAGTGTATTATAACACACAGTTTCTCTTCACAGATGTAATTTGGGTGATCCTGAGTGTAGAGGTTGGTGGTCTCCTTGGCGTCACACAGCAGCTTTCATCTTTCAAAGCTGAGTTCAACACGCAGCCTCACCGCAGCCTCCAAGGGAACTACAACCCCTTTGCCTCACCAGAGAAAAGCAAGTGCCCCAGCAGCAGCAACAACAGCGGCTTCCATGATGACAGTATTCACAGGGCCGCAGAGGAACATTGGCAGGGAAGCGCAAGCCAGCTACAGCAAGATCAAAATGGACTTTCACACAGCTCTGTGGATATAGTAGCAAACAGTCTACAGAGTAATCTGTCAGTAGTCTCTGGTAACCAGGTAAGACATGTCATGAGATTCTGCATACCAGTGAATCATCTATCAATCAGGGCTCAGGGTTGCATTAATAGATCCACGAAACAAATGTGGACTGGTTGGGCAAACTCCCATGAACCCTCCGCCACCCTGAAGAGGGTATAGAGCTGGTCCAGTGTTCCATGGCCAGGACAAAAACTGCATTGTTCCTTTCAGGTTTGCCCGGCTGCACCTACTTTCTCACTCCCCTCACTCTGTTTTCTCTCCTTTACCCTGATTACGCTATCCTTTTCACCTGCTTGCCACCAGCTGCACCTGATTAGTTCTCCCTATTTAGTCCCTGCTCTTCATTCACCCCCCTGCCAGTTCTTTCTAGCTTTTCTCAGGCCCGTTTGTTCCCCGTCGTTCTTTTGATTCTGTATTAGTGTTTTGTGTCTCTTTCTCTCCAGCTGCTTAGATTACATTCCCCCTTCTCCTCAGCCGCTCCTTCGGACCACGGACTTCCTCCACTCTGCTCATCACCCCCCTGCAGGTCGATACACAGTCTACCACTCACCGTATGTACTGTTTCTGTTTTTCTTCAGTTGCATCAAACCCGACCAGTCCAGGAGTGAGTCCCAGTGTCCGCAGCCCCGTCCTCCTTGCATCATCTCTATCATTGACTGTGTACGCTCCTACGCTCGACACCCGGTCCCTGTATTATTCACCTGTTCATTTCTTGTCACTTATACATCACTGTAAATAAACAACACTGTCTTGGGGTCTTGTTCACGAGTGAGGGAAGGATGGAACGGGAGATTGACAGGCGGATCTGTGCAGCTTCTGCAGTATTGCGGTCGATGTACCAGTCTGTCGTGGTGAAGAAGGAGCTGAGCTGTAAGGCGAAGCTCTCGATTTACTGGTCAATGTACGTTCCGACTCTCACCTGTGGTCATGAACTTTGGGTCATGACTGAAAGGGCAAGATCCCAGATACAGGTGGCTGAAATGAGCTTTCTCTGCAGGGTGGCCGGGTGCACCCTTAGAGATAGGGTGAGGAGCTCGGTCACCTGGGAGGAGCTCAGAGTAGAACCGCTGCTCCTCCACATCGAGAGGAGCCAGCTGAGGTGGCTCGGGCATCTGTTTCGGATGCCTCCTGGGCGCCTTCCTAGGGAGGTGTTCCGGGCATGTCCCACCGGGAGGAGGCCCCGGGGAAGACCCAGGACACGCTGGAGGGACTATGTCTCTCGGCTGGCCTGGGAACGCCT